CTTCTCCCTCTGACCCTCCCCCCTCTCATGCTCTCTCTATCTCATTCTCTCTCAAATAAATAAATAAAATCTTTTAAAAAAAAAATTTAAAAAGGAGAGAAACTGTGGAAGGGTGAGACTGATCAGAAATAAGCAGTCAGAGAAAAGCGTCTGTGTTGGCCACCCACTCCCACCACGCATGTGCTCTGATGGCAGCCACTGCTCTTCGAGGCATGAGAAGGCGGATGCAGTCTGTTCGCGTTATTTGAGGGACTCCTGTAAAGTGGCCGTGAGCACGGACCCAGCGAGTCCTGAGTCACTGCTGTAGGGCAGAGACAGGGTTAGGTTTCTGCGAGCCTCTGGTCACAAGGTTTTTATCAACTAATCAGCGTGTAACCTTGTTTTACGTGTGTTTCTATTTAAAGACACTTGATTTCCTATAGCTTGTTGATTGACCCACAATGAACTCACTGCCAACAGCACCATCACTCACGCCTGAGGGAAGCTGAGGCAACACGGTATTCTCTCGGAAAGGCCCATCACGACCTTCCTGAGCTCAGGGACACGGGCAGTGCTTCAGGACCACCCTTGGGGCCACGTGAAACAGTGAAATCACCAAGAGAAAGCGCAAAAAACGCGCTGTTAGGTAGTGCATGGCCCTACATAGTGGCAGAAAGGACACCTGTTTACCGCCTGAGAGCCCAAACAAGAAGGCAGAGCATCGCTGTACTGGACGTCAGCTGGAAACGCGCACAGCGGGCAGCTCAAATTTTTTGCCACTCTTGACATGTCCGCAAGCACTGCAAGTATCGATTTGGGGTTACAAGTACATTTCAGCAATTAGGTGAATTCACACATAAATAGGATTGACTGTACTTGTTTGTAAATAGCTTCCTATTGCTCCCCTTTTGGGTACCAGGGCACCCCTTCCTTCACCCCAGAAACATGCACCATTTCTTACCCTGGCACACTCTCCTTTCCCAAAGATCTGGGGGATTGTCCCATACAGAGCCTGCAGGGTCATGAGCCCCTTGGCTGCGTGGTAGAGGCTCGTCTGGTCACTCTCCAGGTAGCACTCCTGTGGGGAGAAAGGGTGGTTACTGTTAGGCCCCAGTCACTGGGTGCTTGCTGGGTACCTGCCTCTGTCTGGCCCTGGGACTTTCCCCTTATTTCCCCCACTTTGCCTGGAAAGCTGGGGACACAAGACCGTTTTGTCAAGCTGCTACTTGGCAGTCAAGAACACAAGGCCAACATCTGTGCTACTGGGATGCAGCTGTGGAAGCACCTGGCAGAGCCTTCTGGAAGAAAAGTATTCACCAACCACACCAATTCTTCTTATTTATCGACTCTCAAGTAAACTGATTAACAAAGACGGACAATGAGAATGGGTTCTCTCGCTCCCTGTGGGGAGTGCAGACTTTGGGAAGGCCACATGCTAATACCCACAAAGGCACACATTCTTTGTGCCAGAGGACCACACAACAGAATACTTAGCAGTTTTCACAACATGAGATTTTCATATATGCTGATAACAAAGGTCCTAACATGTTGAGGAGTGAAAAGGGGTAGCTGAACGAAATTTAGAGTCTGATCTCATTTTCAGAAAATACACTTTACTCTATAAAATATATAAGGTATATTTCATCAAGGCCAACAAAATACACACAAAGCCAGTTGGGAAGCGAGAGGGGAAATGCTCAGTCCTGACACTGACTCAGGTCGCCCTGATCTGAGCCCCTCTGTGCCACTTACCAGCTGCTCCCTAGGCCAGTTACATAACCTCTGTGTGCCTCAATTTACTCATCTGTAGAAGGGAGTACATTCCACATGGTGTAAGGAGTAAATGAAGAAAATGCATGTAAAACATTAAATCCCAGCACTCGAAACATATAGTAAGTGCTTAATAAATGGTAGCTTTTATTATTTGGAATTGTTTGTATATTTTTCACAATCATTATCTCCTCATAAGTCAAATGGTACATGAGGCGCCTGGGTGGCTCAGTCGGTTAAGCGTCTGACTCTGGATTTTGGCTCAGGTCACGATCTCAGGGTTGTGAGATCGAGCCCCACATTAGGCTCTGTGATGGGTGTGGAGCCTGCTTAAGATTCTTTCTCTCCCTCTCCCTCTGCCTCCCCACAAAAAGAAATAATGAGTCAAAATGGTACATCGCACCAGACACCTGCTCTCCACCCACCCACCCAATGTGTCTAGTCTCCAAAGCCAGGAGGGAAAGGATACCAAAGGGATTAGGGAAGACAGAGTGGAGCACTCGAGCACTCCGCCCCTGGGAGGAAGGAGGGCTGTCCCCCGAAGACACTGTGAGGAGTATCTGGTCACCACTGGAAGCCCTGCCAGATGATGGCTCTTCCAAGTCTGGGGTATTTTAATATTTCACTGAATAGGAAAGGTGAAAAAAAAATGTCTGAAGACACACTTTCTGGCAAAATTACTTAAAACTCCTGATTGGAGCAGAAGTAAGATAAAAATTCAAGAAAAAAAATATTAGGGAACATCTCTCCAAATAGCATTCATATTATTATTATTATTTAAGATTTTTATTTATTTGAGAGAGAGAGAGAGAGCACGAATGAGTGGGGGGGAGGGCAGAGGAAGAGGGAGAATCAGACCCCCGCTGAGCAGGAAACCTGACGTGGGGCTCAATCCCAGGACCCCAAGATCACCACCTGAGCCGAAGGCAGACACTTAACCGACTGAGCCAGCCAGGTGCTCCTTTAAGATTCTATTTTTAAGTAATCTCTATACCTGACATGGGACTCAAACCCACAACCCCGAGAGATCAAGAGTTGCATGCTCTACAGACTGAGCCAGCAAGGTGCCCCAGCATTCATATTATTTTTAATTTAAAAAGTTGTATTACTATAGACATTCCTTTTTTTTTTTTTTTAAGATTTACTTATTTTTATTTTAGAGAGAGAGAAAGTGAGTGAGCATGGGAGAAGGGGCAGAGGGAGAGGAAGAGAGAGAATCTCCAGCAGACTCCCCACTGAGCATGGAGCCTGACATGGGACTCAATCTCATGACCCTTAGATCATGACCTGAGCTGAAATCAAGAGTTGGATGCTCAATCGAAGGAGCCATCCAGGCACCCCAGACATTCCTTTTATAAGGCTATCTTTTAAAAAAGATTTAAAAGTTAAAAACAGATACTAATCTTGAATTTTTTGCTCTAATGTAAGTGTCGGTGGAGTGATAATTTGTGTTAATATCCCAACTCTATTGTGCACTTGTGGAATTTTAAGCCAGGAGGACATTTTGGGAGGGACAAATGCTAATACTGTTAACATTTAAATACTTTTTGACCTCCAAATCCCACATGCCTACACAATAGAACAGCCAACAGTTTCTATAAAGAAAACAGGTTAATATACACTGATTTTTACGTGTACGTATGAAGGCTGTGATACATTAATCACTGTTACTGAGCATGATATATTAATCACTGTTACTGAGCATTCAACAGGGTGAATTCTGATTCCCACATTTTATACAGAACAATGATGGAGAAGATCTTAATCACATCCCCAAAGCATAGAAAGATCTACATGTGCCTTCTGATGCCAAAAATCACTAAATTATGCTCATTGTTTAAAATCACATAAATATGTAAAATTACGTCAACTCCATCAGAAATTGGGGCTGAATTTCGCACTAGGTGGAATTCTCAGCTTTACCACCCAGGCAAAATCTCTGATTTCTAAACAGAATCTGAAGTGAACTTACAAAACCAAGAGCTTGAGATTCCCAGCAGAAAATAATTCTGTCCTTTTTTTGCAAATCATCAGAAAAACAAACAGGAAATCTCTCCTCTGGACAGGGTCTGGCATGCTGGGACAAGTTTTCCTCAGCTGCTACCAATTCACATTAATTACAGAGACGTGAATTAATGACATGTGGGCATTCCATTACAGCTATACGATGAAACAGATAGAGCAAAATGGTAATTCCAGAATCTAGGTGATGGGTATATGGGTGTTCCCTGTCAAACTCTCAACTTCTGTGTATGTCTGAAATTTTTCATTTAAATGTTGGCAGGGGGGTAGTCTATACCATCTTTGGATGAGATTCAGCGTATAAGCAAACCAGTAGGGAACATGGCGGAAAAAGAGCCTTCGTTATTCAAATTAGTCAGTGGTGCCACTGAGATCTACTGCCTCAAGTTAACCCTTTTAAGGCGGTGATCACTGTTAACAACGTCCTGGGGAAGAAAACGTTTCAAATAATTTTTTTGTACAACACCAGAGGTTCTCAAAAGTTCTAGTCTCCATCACAAGCCCATGAATCAAGGAAGAAAATATGGACAAATGTGAGTGCACTGAAAAACACGCATGGCAAAAACTACCATAAGCAAAGTCCAAAGACAAATGTCAAAAGAGAGTAAAGAACAGTCTACAGGGTGCCTGAGTGGCTCAAGTCGGTTAAGCGACTGCCTTCGGCTCAGGTCACGATCCCGGAGTACCGGGATCGAGTTCCGCATCAGGCTCCCCGCTCAGCGAGGAGTCTGCTTCTCCCTCTAACCCTCCCCCCCTTCTTGTGCTCTCTCTCTCTCACTCTCTCTCTCAAATAAATAAAATTTAAAAAAAAAGTCTACAGTTACAGGGCCCACATGCACAGTGACCTACGTACAGGGTTGTTCACCACCTCCAACAGCACAAGATGAGAAACGCTGACATATCCTACAGAAGGGGACTGGTTTGATAAATTACGTTAGCTCCAAACAATGCAACGGTATGCAGCTTCAAACAAAAATACAGAAGCATTTTCACATATGGTAGAAAATGATCTTGAGATAATATTATTAAGAGAAGAAAGCAAGATGCCAAACTTATATGGTTTATGCCACCATTTGTATAAAGTGGGGAGGGTATTTTATATATATTATGAGCTGTAGCTACATAAAGCATCAAAAAAAGAATTAGTAATAGTGATTGCTGCTGACAGGGAATTGGCAGTTTGAGCACTGGGAGGCTTACTTTTCACTCTGTACCCTTTCTTACTCAAAGAAATCATTGTGCAAGGATAACGTTCTCAAAAACTTTCAAGGGCACCTGGGTGGCTCAGTCGTTAAGCGTCTGCCTTCAGCTCAGCTCGTGATCCCAGGGTCCTGGGATCGAGCCCCACATCGGGCTCCCTGCTTGGTGGGAATCCTGCTTCTCCCTCTTCTACTCCCCCCACTTGTGTTCCCTCTCTGTCTCTCTGTCAAAAAATAAATAAATAAAAAATCTTAAAAAAAACAAAAAAAACTTTCAAATCATTTTATTAAAGATAAAGTAATATTCTTATGAGAGAAAGTGTTCTTTGAAATAAAGATGGTAAATAAAGCAAATACATAAACTTACATTTGCAAGAAAACTCTTAGTTCTGGAGAACAAAGGCGTGCACATTTGCTATAAACATATGTGGAAAATAAGCAGTGGAGAAAACCAGGGCTGGAACAACTGGCTACCCATCTGGAAAAAATTAAATGAGCCTCTACCTCACACCACACACTCCACACAAATACACAATTCAAGCTAAACACCTGACCTTTTTTTTTTTCTTAAAAAGCAAAACTTCCAAGACTTTCGAAGGAAAATATAAGATTTCCTGTATCTTCAGGGTGTAGGGGGATTTAATAATACTCGAAAAACACAAACTAAAAGAATAAAAGTGATATATTTAACTACTTTAACTTGGAAGACTCCTACCTCTCAGTGTCAAAGCTTACTACAAAACCACAGTAATTGAGAGAGTAGGGTGCTGGCATAAAGACAGGCATATTGACTAATGGAATAGAATTGCGACATCAGAAATAAACATTTACATTTATGGACGACGGATTTTCAACAAGGGCACCAAGACAATTCAATGAGGAAAGTACCACCTTCCAGCGAATGGTGCTGGAACAAATGGACAGCCACATGCAAATGAACGAAGCTGGATCCCCACCTCACATCAGATAAAAGTGAACTTAAAATAGCTCAAAGACCTAAATGTAAGATTGAAACCATAAAATTGTTTGAAGAAAACATAAGGGTCAATCCATTACTCTGGGTTAGGCAACGATTTCTTAGATGGGACACCAAAAGCAAAAGCAACAAGAGGGAAAAACAGTTAAACTGAACTTTAAAATGAAAAATTCTGGGTTGAAAAAAAAAAATTTGTGTTTCACTTTTACCAAGTGAAAAAAAATCACAGAATGGGATAAAATATTTGCAAATCATGTATCCAATAAAGAACTTGCATCCAGAACATTCCAGAATTCTTACAACTCTTCTAATGAAAAGATAAACTACCCCACTTTAACAAATGCACCACACATCAGAATAGACATTTCTTTAAAGGAAGACATACAAATGGCCAAGAAGCACATCATTGGTCACTACGAAATGCAAATCAAAACCACAATGAGATAATGCTTCACACTCTCCAGGATGGCAAACTTCAAGAAGACAGATAACAATGTGTTGGTGAGATTGTAAGATTGGAACCCTTATCTATCTCTGGTGGGAGCAGAAAATGGTGCGGTCACTGTGGAAAAGTCTGTCAGCTCCTCCAAATGTTAAACACAGGGTTTTACCGTATGACCCAGCAACTCTACTTCAAGGTATATGTAAGAGAAATGAAAACACATGTACATACAAAACCTTGTAAGAATGTTCGCAGCATCATGATTGCCGACAGGTGAAAAACCACCATCTGTCCACTAAAGATGAATGATAAACAAAATGTGGGCTATTATTACAACAGAATACTGTTTGACAATAAAAAGGAATGAAGGACTGATAACCTGCTACAATGTGGATGAGCGTCGAGAACATGATGCTAAGAGAGAGGCCAGACACAAAAGACCACGTGTTACATGATTTCATTGATAAGAAATCTCCAGAATAGGCAACTCCACACAGATGGCAATGGGCTAGTGACGCCAGGAGCCGTGCAGGGAGAGAGGGGGTGACTGCTAATGGGCAGAGCGTTTCTTTCTGAAAGGAGAAAAATGTTCCACAAGGAGACAGTGGCGATGGTCGCACAACTCTGAATACACTGGAAACTAGTGAACTGCACACTGTAAAAGGGTGAATCTTATGGCACGTGAATTATGTCTCAATAAAGCTATTACAAAAATAAAGCACTTCAGGGTGCTTGGGTGGCTCAGTCGTTGAGCGTCTGCCTTCGGCTCAGGTCGTGATCCCAGGGTCCTGGGATCGAGCCCCACGTCGGGCTCCCTGCTCGGTGGGAAGCCTGCTTCTCTCTCTCCCACTCCCCCTGCTTGTGTTCCCTCTCTCGCTGTCTCTCTCTGTCAAATAATTAAAATTGTAACTCAACACATATCTTTAAAAAAAAAGAGGCCTGGGCGCCTGGGTGGCTCAGTCGTTAAGCGTCTGCCTTCGGCTCAGGTCATGATCCCGGGGTCCTGGGATCGAGCC